CATAAAGCATGTTGCGTGTGCACATAAAGCATGTTGTGCACGCACATAAACCATGTTGCACACGCACATAAAGAATGTTGCGCACACACATAATGTGCAAACACATAAAGAATGTTGTGCACACACATAATGTGCAAACACATAAAGCATGTTGCGCACGCACATAAAGCATATTGCACACGCACATAAAACATGTTGCACACACATAAAGCCTGTTGCAAACACGTTAAGCATGTTGCGCACACACACATAAAGCATGTTGCACACACGCCTCATCGTGGTCACGTGTGCGTGACATGCTACATATATATATATATATATATATATATATATATATATATATATATATATATATGTAAAAATTATATATGTCTATATATATATAGACATATATAATTTTTACATTTTATTAAAGAAGTTTATTTTATTTTATTTTGAAAAAACATACCCGGAAGTAAAGGATTTCTCGGTCGCATTGACTATCCTGGTTAGCAAATGTCCATCAACTGTAAGGAAAAAGATGGCCTCATCGTGATAATTCAGTTGTTTGTCGCCTGTACTTTAACTTGACACTACAAACCTTCTCAGAACCGAACATGTAAGGTTTATGCTCCGTTTTACGATAGCTAACTACCGCCGTTAACATCAGCAATTAGACGATGACGGCTCAGACCAGCGGCTGGACAGCTCGGACATGTCCAGTCTCTCTCGCCATTTTTCTGCTACTTATCACTTTGCATGTGGTGCAACCGACTCAGGAGTTTGATCCGTATAAAGTCCTGGGTGTCAGCAGGAGTGCCAGTCAGCCGGAAATTAAGCGAGCGTACAAGAACCTGGCCAGGGAATGGTGAGTGACACAGAGAGGCCATCATTTTCTGCTGGAGGAACGTCTACTGATCATTTACTGCTATCCACGGCCATTAACAACTATCCCCAAAAATGAATGTACTTTGGTTTTCCTTCAGGCATCCAGATAAGAACAAGGACCCCAGTGCTGAAGACATGTTTATAAAGATTTCCAAGTCTTACGAGGTAAAAGGAAAAACTGTCACATTATAATAATAGGCTGTACTCTTGTTTGTTGAAG